TGATGCTCGGACCGCTGTGCGACGAGGTCATCAAGCTCGTCCAGTTCTCACCGAAGGCCGACGGCGTGACCATCGCGATCAAGGGGCGCATCGCCGTTCCCATTCTCGGCAACCCCATCCAGATCCAGCAAGTCCTCGTCAATCTCATCGACAATGCGATCGAAGCCGGCGGCAACACCTCGAACAGGGCGATCGAACTGGAATTCTCCGAACGGCCCGGACGAGCGGCGCTTGCCGTGCGCGACTACGGTCCCGGCTTTTCGCCGGAAGTGTTAGAGAACCTGTTCGACCTGTTTCGGACAACGAGGGAAAGCGGCACCGGTATCGGCTTGTGGCTGTGCCGACAGATCGTTGAGAAGCACAAGGGCACGATCTCGGCGTTCAATCACTCGGACGGGGGTGCCTGTGTGCGCGTGGAATTCCCGGCAGCAGGGATACCCACATGACGCGACGAACCATCGTCGTCATCGACGATGACGCCAACATGCGGGATGGGCTCGAGGCCTTTCTGTCGCGAGAGTTCGACATCCGGTGCTTTGCCTCGGCGAAAGCCTTCCTGGCAGCCCGCGGAAGCGTGGCGCGTCCGCATTGCATCCTGCTCGATCTTCGAATGCCGGAAATGGACGGATTGGCCCTGCAGGAAGCGCTCAGGAGTTCCGCCCCTCTTCCACCCATCATTTTCATGAGTGGCGACGCCGACAAGTCGGACATCATTGAGGCTTGGCGCGGCGGCGCCGCCAACTTCATCCTCAAGCCCTTCTCGGCAGATGAAATCCGGGAAAGCATCCAGGCGCTTTGGGAGCGCGCTACCATTGTCGCACCGACTCACAACCCGGACCTCCCGATCACCCGACGGGAAGCACAGGTCCTGCTACTGCTGGGACAAGGCCTTCAGCAGAGCGAGGCGGCCGAAAAGCTCGGCCTGTCGTTGCGGACGATCAAGATGTACCGGTCTTTCCTGAAGGACAAGCTGAAGCTGAAATCGCCGATCGAGATCGGCCGCTTCTATGA